GCAACTCAGCTGCTTTCCTGATCCCTCCTACCTTCTATCTTATCCACCTGCTGTCACACCTCCACTCACAGATCAGATTTTCAGTTAGAACGACATCTATATATCAAAGATATATATAAACATGTTTTCATAATAAATTATGTGTACTTGTTATATGTGTGAACAAAAAAGAATAGACATTACAGTTTATTTTAGGTTTTTCTTTAATTTAACATAATACAATGACATGTGGTGTGAATATGTTGGATGGTAATATTTGAATATAATCTTCCTGATACATGCTTCATTGCATTTGTAATAAGATTACAACTTCCCATGGTAAACATTCATTATTAATGTCTGTCATCATGTTCTAGATTCTTAAAGTCTATAGACTAATCCACTCTTAGTTGACATTGTCATGAGGAAATTATATAAATTAAAAAAACAATCCACTGGAAATATGTACACCAACATGATATTTTCAAATTAATTTGGTTATAATATTTAATTTGTTTAATTGTAGGTTTTCAGTCTGGGAAATGTTTTCAATTATGCACAAAGTGCAGAAATTGACTCGCTTGATCTCACATATTCTTGGGTAACAATTATAGTAACTATTATAGAAACAATAGCAGTCTGCAATCTGCAGTATTGTTGCAACACATGTCGCTGATATCATTAGTCACACTAAAAAACCTCTTATGCAAAAATTAATTAAAAAACATCCAGCAATTTTTCAAGTGTGGAAGCAGTCACATTTCATAGATCAGATTATTATTAGTATATGTAGTGACCAGAAGATGCTTATTAGATATTTACATCTCCATGACAACCCATATTGGATATTGATCACTGTATCTTTCTTCCTTCCTTTTCCAATAACACTAACGCTATTGTGAATTGTTTACAAAGTATTGTGTACATTTCATACAATTTCTCCAATGCAAGGAAAAAATCAATTTTGCTCAGAATATGAATCTCTTATAAGTACCTGCTTTTATCTGCTAGTGATTGGCTTGTTTTCTTTTGGATGAGTTCCTTGTTCACCAGTTTGTGTCTGGTATTATATGTAATTACATTCCATTATAGTATGCACTGATCTGATCCAGTGTTGATGTGCATGTACTTCAGTATACTATGGATCAAGTAGATGATTAGGAAACTCTTTTAAGTGGAATACTCACATTCACAGTGATCTAATGGCATAATGTGTGTGTCACATGGTACACTTTATACTGTAAATGAATTATTCACTGGGTTTTAATTAGACTGTTTTCACAGATATGTCACTAACTTAAATACTATAAAATACTTTATTTTAGCTGGAATTAATTTTTGCTGAAACAACTTTTTGTGTGTTTTGTATGGAATTTATTTTCCCTGATTTTTGACAAGTTGAATGTAA